AAAAACAAACACGGTTTGGCTTATTACTAGAACGTAATTTTTTTAGGCACAAATATTCGTCCTGTACTCGTGATACAATGCATTTTTTTTCATAAAATATTGGTGTTTGGGCCGAGTTGGTTATGATTTCAGTTGGTCAAAGGCCAAACTTACAAGATTCGGGTTTGTTTTCATGGGCCAAGTTGGTGAAGTGCCGAGTCGGTGGCAGAACTACAAAGCAAAGGCCTAGTTACGTTAAAGACCCAAAACTGAATGCACTAACGACGTCTCATACCAAGTTTGCTGATCAATGTTTTGTTGTGTGTCGTGGGCTGACCGAGATATAGGCTAGGTTGGGTCCTAAAGATGATACCCAAAATATCATTTGATGAGTGCTTAAAAGATTCACCCAGGTTTAGGTACGTTAGAATCTTTATCTGTAACATAACAGTAAATACCTTGATATTAAGCACAATAAATTAAAGTCGGTAGCCTAGAATAATTCTCCTAGCCTCTAAGCCCTGGGCCCAGCCTAGCCTACTAGCTAGGCTGGGCCCTATTCATACTATAGATTAGAGGCGTAGGTAGGGGTAGGCCTAGGCCTAGCTACTAGGCCTAGGTAGGTAGGTAAGGTAGGAGGAGATGTGCTTCCGAGCCTGGCCCTTTCTTGGTCCTTGGTATTGACTTGCCTAGCCTCTAGGCCTAGCTACAGTACTAGACATAGACTAGAGCCTAGAACTAGTATAGGACAATTTTTCTGATTTTTTTTTTAGTGGGTTTCTGTTTTTGAGGTCTCAGACTCCGTATTATTAGTTAGTTAGTAGTATAGATTAGTTTTCGAGTAGGCATAGGCCTATCGAGGTATCGGGTTGCTGTTTTCGAGTGGGTACCCAGTCTTGGGTCTCTGTTTTTCAGGTCTCTGCAGTGTTTTTGAGACACCGTATCTAGCCCTAGTATGTAGGGTGCCTACTCACTATATATAGGTCCTTACCCAGGCTAGGCCAGGCCGAATATAATGTGGTGGTCTAGCCTATGCCAACCTAACCTAGACTAAGCCAGATAGCCCTATTGTTAATTGTTTGATTTCATAGATAGGCCTTTAATATAGTAGGAAGGAGGGTTGCCTACCGACAAGCCATACTGTAAAAAACTTGTACTTTAATTGCGTGGATGATGGATCAAAACACTAGCTAAAATATGCGTGCAAATGTTGCTATGAAAATAGGTGCACAGAAGCATAGCTACTGCTTTAGCATTGATTATAATTTTTTCCAAAATCTGCACATAAATCTGCCCTTAATTTCTGAAGCACAGACAGATTTCTAGGCCTATTTTTTTACACAGAGGATATATTCCCCACTCAGTCAGGCCTTGTTTAGCAGTACTGTATGGACTATAATACAAGTGGAATCATTTGTTTAGGAGAGTGCTGATATTATTTGCTAGGATTAACCATGAAAATTCAAACATATTTTTACACTTAAGCTCTGGATGCATTTTAGTCTTTGGAAAGTACAGTATATACTGTCCAGCAATAATAATTTATTCAGAAAACTAAGTTTCTGTAGCATCCTAAACACAATTGAGAGGATCCATGAACACAAGGAAATTAGAGAGTATCAAAAAGAAATAATGATAACAGTTAAAGAAAGCAGGAAAGGAACAATTTGGAGAAACTGACATGCCATTACATCAATTGACATACAAACTGCATCAGTTTTTGGGGAATTGTTCAGTGCTCCTCAGCTCAGCTGATCATTGGAGCCGCAATAAATCCACTGTATAATATTCCAAATACCTCATTTAGGTTAGAGTTTAAACTAAACCTTTATAATGATTTTTAAATTAATTAATTATTATTGAGAATATAAGTGAGAATTTTTGTATTCAAATAGAACTAAGAGATGCTACTGTATTTATTGTCATAATTTATATGATTATGTTGCATGAGGAAATAAATAAATACTAAAAAAGGCTGAGATGACAGCATCCTGTTGGTTATACCATGGAGGAAATACTGGTAAAGGTTAGGTTAATACTGGTAAAGGTTAGGTTAATACTGGTAAAGGTTAGGTTAATACTGGTAAAGGTTAGGTTAATACTGGTAAAGGTTAGGTTAATAGATATAGAGAATTATTTAATGATGCATGACTGAGAGTTTACGGTACCGTATGCACAATCTACCAAATTAGCAACATAGCTATACATACTGTACATAGAAAATCAATACCTAATCTGTCTGTTTACTGTATATTATGCCTCTCTAACTATTGATAATTATGTGAATGATATTATTAGATGGTTCGTCTACTGTACCAGGGATGGTGCCAGAAGGGGCGGGGTGCCAGGGCCCCCTCGTCGGGGAGAGCTGGCCCCATCCATCGAGGAGAAAAACCAAATTCTTCGAGAAAAAAAATTATGTATTTTCTACATATTAGTAGCCTAAAATCGATTAAATAAGCCTTTGAAAACCCCTAAATTGTCAAAATTTTCACTTCGCAACCTTTTAATCGAAGCTTGACCATGCCCACTTTGCTTTTGTCTCGGAAATCTGACTCCTAGTCCGGGACCTTGCCCCCCTCCCCAGTCAGGCAAATCATTGCGCCACCCCTGTACTGTAGTTGTCAATTAATTAATCAAATCTTTGTATTGCACGTTTGTCTTCTGAACTACCAATATTTGTTTCTACTCCACCACACACTTCAGATTTTATCTACTGATTTTCTCATCAACAAAATATTTCTTCTCTAAGCTCATACATTTCAGCACCTATTTGTTATTGGCAAGCAAAGTTTATGTTTGTCGGATTGAACCATGAATTTCAGTCTGGGATCAAGATAATATATAAATAATCCTACTTTTCATATTCCCTTTAGTAAACGTGCTTAAAAAATGGTTTTATTTTAGATTAAGCTTAGCTTAGGCCTATAATTCTCTTGTTTTAAGGAATCCTGATATTGATATTTTTAGTGATAATTTTTCTATGTTCCGTAACAGTGTTAGACATATTTTACATATTAGGCCCACTTAATCTGATATTATCACATTGTTATTATTATTATTATTATTATTATTATTATTATTATTATTATTAATATTATTATTTTGTACTTATTTTTGTATTCTTCACGTTTACTATATTTATGTATCCGTTTGATGTTTGTGTTCCCTCCTGTAAGTGGCGAATTTTATGTTTGCTGTTGCCTGGGAAAATAAATAAAATAAAATAAAGATAAGATAACATTTATTGTCCAATAAAACAACTGGAAATGCATTTGTCCTGTGGAAATACAAACACACAAAGCAATTAAAAAAATACAGTTGATAAAAATGTAAAAGGTCATGCAGATATTTGATATCCATCACTCAAAAATATAATGATCAACTGCAATAAAAACTATCATCTGCAAAAAAAAAAAAATAAAACTCACCAGATATTTGCTTCAATTGTATTTTCAGAGCCTCTCTTGAGGATGTGGAGGTTAATATATTTGATTTGGAATGTAGACTAGAAAAGGTGAGTTTAACACATTATATTTTTTTATATATTAATTTGGTTGCATTCTTTTCATTTTATATATTATATATTATATTCATTTCATTTATTATATTTATATAAAATGTTCATCTTTTATATGTTTAATTACTTAATTGTATATTTTTTATCGACCTTGTGTTTTGTTTTTTTAACAACTTATTTTATTTTTTAACTGATTTTTATTAAATTCAAAAGAAAAAGGAAACTTAAATCACACTTTTCTACTCTTGTCTGAACTACTGTATATGTTTACCATTTGAAATGTGGTTTAATAGCAAAGTAAGCTTACAGTGAATGAGGTTTATACAGTACCACAAAGTTTATTGTTATATTTATTGCCTTGTCAGAAAAGGGAAGCTCAAGCAAGTTTGTTGGTTTTCCCTATTCATTTGAATATTATTTGTTGTTGGTGGTGTTTTATAGAAGGTCTGACCCATATGTCCAATTTTGCAACACTGTAATATTTTATAGGAAATTTAAAAGTGTAGATGCTATGCCTCTACTGTGTGCATTCTATTTGTCCTTAACTGGATGAGCTTTATGCCGATATGAAATAAAGGGTGCATCATAGAGATTAAATTGAGGAATTACTTTGCTAGAACCTGCCAGAAGGCAAAAACCAGTTAGATGGAAATGTTTAACTTTTTTTCAAATTGTAGGCCATAAACAACTGATTACAGTACTACATTAATCAACTAATTGTGTATGTACTGTTTGTTTACTAAATTGGTGTTCATAGGTGTATGCAA